GAGAGAGAGAGAGAGAGAGAGAGAGAGAGAGAGAGAGAAAGTCATGGAATTTGTATATAATATAGGTGTTTCAGCGCGTAATATTTATGTCTATTCCTGTTGCGTGTATACGTGAGTGCACATAAACTTTGTAACACCACCGCCATTGTAGACGACCATAACACATTTCTCCCACTGATATGAACAAAGATTGTCAATGCCGTCATTGTCATAAGAGGTGGAAAAAAGACACGGTCCTAAACGATAAAATATTTTAAAGAAACAGATTACGGTAACCCAAAGCCTCGCTGACCAAATCCTGGCCAATCGCTTGTTTACCTTTCGGAGATAGATTGGAAGGGGAATCACTCTCCCCGATTGTCGGTATAGGGGCCTACGGTTACTGGAGGGTGGGGCGTGTTTGTTGTGGCAGAATATTATACAATGTATTCGGAGACGTCTCCGGTGAGCACCCAGGAACTATTCGGAGACGTACTCCCGCACACAGATACACAGCTTTGAGGATCATACTGCGTATTGTTTGCTGCAGATCTGACATATAGCCACCAAAACTGTCGCAATTCAATTATTTTCAAGAAAATTTCAAATCTAACTGCCAATTATCAAATTTATGGCCAAAATGTCACTCCGCGATTTCTTTTACTCAGTCCAGAGGCCCAAAGCATTTTGTTTGGTCTATCTCCGTCGGAGACGTCTCCGGATAGACACTTAACTGTGGTTTGTCGTTGACCTAATATCGCGATTTCACTGCCCAATAAGCCAAATAATGGACTTGTTTGTCCCAGTGTGGGTACAGAATACTCAACACACACCCCTTCAGGGGGGTCCCTCTTCTGGCAGCAGCTCTCTAGCAAAGCTGTCTTGTCAGTGTCGCATTCATCTGTATTTGCATACGACTCGGGGGCTCTGGAGACATTTCACACCCCGCGTGTGTATATTACATAAACAGATTACACGTTTTTGGCTGAAAATGACAGCTTGTTTGTCTTTTTTTTGGAGCCCCCTAAAAGCTTTCCGCGTTAAGATTATTTTTTATGACATCTGCATAATCCTTCAAGATTTGGAAGGGAAAGGCAGATATCTTTGTCCTTTAATCTATGTATATTATTTTCTCACATGCAGACGTAATGCGAAGCGCAATGCTATTGAACTAAATTCTAACGTGTGCAAATCATTCAGCTGTTCAATACAAAATGAGAAAAAGAGCGAGTTAACAAACAGTGTTGTAGTCGTCCTTCTCTGTCTCGCAATGGCCGTTGTATAGTAAGGTATGCGGTGCAAATCATGTAATTGCTTACACACACACACACACACACACACACACACACACACACACACACACACACACAAT